GCTCTTCATATTTTTGTTTTTTTGTTAATGTTTCTGAACTTGTGTCTGCAGTAGTATTACATAAATCTTTGTAATTTACAACGCGCTGACTTTCAAACTACGGGCGCTACTTTGAAAAAATATTTACAGGACTACGGGACCGAGACCAAAAATGAGTTCTTTCCACGGGACCGGGGCCGGGACCAAGACTTTTTTCTTCGTGGGACCGGGACCAAAAACGTTTGGTCCCGCAGACCTCTACTTTTGACTCGTCTGAAGTGCATCTTTTCGAAAATGCATCTCTTTTTTCACAGTGTATATATGCTTTCTTTTTATTTCTTTTCTCTTTGATCTTTCCTCTTTTTCTTCTGCACAGAAAGAAAACGTGACAAATGAGAAGCAAATGTCAACAGACAGATATCTGAGATATATGTATATTTGAATGCTAGAGGCCTACTAATTTTCTTTGAATCTTTTTTGTTTTCTTCTAATCCGCTTCTCTCGCTTCTGTTATCCATTATGTTACTAATAGCGAATGTTGCTAATAGCGAATAGATAACAGAAGCGGGCTGTTCAAATATGACATATTCTACCATTATTTTTTTCTTCTATATTAATTATGTTATTTTCTTTCTTTTTTTAACTTGGTTGATAGTACTAAAATGGGTACTTAGTAATCGTTATACTCTTTACGACTCACCTTGCTCTTTGTAATAAATAAAACAAATCTTGTTTGATTCATATAATTCCAGATCACTGCGTCGATGGATCTTGTGTTGTCGCGATTTAGAAACGAGAAAGACATCAAATGAATGATCTGTGAATTGTAGATCATCATGTTTGGAACACCAATCGTTTTCTTAGAAAAAGACATGTACTCGTTAATTTTTCGCTTCCTACATTTCTGTGTATAAATCAAATTTTTCAGTAACGAGCATTAAGAGCAACGTTTTATTTCGTAACAGCACTTGACGGTGGATATTGTAACAGATTTGACCATTTGAAATATTGATTAGCTTTTATCCTATCGCTAGTGATGTTTTAATGATTTTTATGCATCACGGTTATGCATTCTATATAAATGAAAAGATTAATTGTATGAGTTCAACAATCATTATTTTAAAACTTTTATTTAAAACAGGAGCTTTCGATTATGATTACAGTTGTAATTGAAAGCTCCTGTTTTAAATAAAAGTTTTAAAATAATGATTGTTGAACTCATACAATTAATCTTTTCATTTATGAAATTATTATCAACAAACAATATGGGAGCATTCTGTATACAACCGCTACTTTAATGTACATGAGGAGAAAAGTGAAGAATAATGAATGCAGATCGGAAGTGATCAGGCTATAGAGAAGAATAGGTTATAGTATAATCCTTTTAAATGTTGTAGGCGATTTCAAGTTTTGAAATTATAAGAACATGTTGGCGCTTGCTCGAGTTAGTATGAATTTTTTACAAAAAGTAGAAAAAAATGCACCAAATAAGATAAATAGTCATACCATCTCGAAAAAAATTCACCAAATAAAAAAGGTATATATTGACATAAGAAATAAGTGTCACTTACTTTCATTTTTTATACTCCATAGGTTAAGCTAAGAAGATGATACGACTATATGTTATATTGTTCAAAATTCTCGTTGTAAGGTCAGTTGTCATTCAGACGCCGAATGGTGATATTAGTGGTTCAACTTCCAATGGGGTCGATATCTACTTAGGTATCCGCTACGGTGACATAAGTGAACGTTGGTCTCCGGCACAGTTGCCTCTGGCATGGACTGGTATCATCAACGCTACTTCCTTCAGTTCGATCTGCTATCAACTGGGGCCCTACGAACTACCGCAACCCTATCCAGAAAGTGAACACTGTCTATTTTTGAATATATGGGTACCTCAACATGTTACCTCGAGTCCTGTTCGTGTGTGGTTCCACGGCGGTGGGTATACAGCTGGTGCAGGGAGTGATTATGACTCACAGGAGCTCGCTCGTCTCTCTGGATCGATCGTTGTGACAATTAATTACCGCCTCGGATCGTTTGGCTTTTTCAATTTACCTTTCACAAGCGATGTGAATGTGGGATGGCTTGATCAACAGTTAGCACTGAAATGGATACAAGCAAACATCGGGGCGTTTGGCGGTGACAAAACAAATGTGATGTTGTTTGGACAATCAGCTGGCGGGAGCTCTGTCCTGGCTCATCTACTGATGCCCGCGAGTTGGCCGCTCTATTCTAAAGTGATTATGCAATCCGTCGGACCATTTATTCTTCCGGACTGTAAAGAAAGTGAACAGCGTAACATAGAATTACTTGAGAAGTACTATCCTGAGTGTCATTCGAACCTAACTTGTATTCGGACGATGAATGCCTCAGTATTCAATCAACGACTCAAGAACGAAAATATTAACTGGATCGATTTCTGGCCTTGCGTAGGTGGACGATCGCAATTGCGCGCACAACCTCTCGCATTAATTCGTAAAGGGGAATATAAGAAGGTACCGATACTTGCTGGAATCACCTATAATGAAGGACAAAGCGTTGCACTCTCTTTCAATCAGTTTCAGATAGAAATGAATTCAACAAGGTATCGACAACTGGCATCGCAGTATAAAATACCTGCAGAGTTCACTAGTATATACGATAAACCAGGAGACTATTTCAGTGCGTTCAGTGGGCTTTTTGGAGATTATCATATTAGCTGTCCTAGTATGGCGCTCTTCAATCGCCTTTCACCATCGATCTATGTCTATTCATTCGTTCATGCAACTGAGAAGTGGGCGTTCACTCCATTCCACTTCAATGCCACCCATAGCACCGATATACCCTATGTATTTTACAATCAATTTGCCTCGACGAATTTCACTGTGGAAGAAGCATCACTATCCAAAAGATTGATTGAATACTTTAAAATTTTTCATTTGAACGGATCGCCGTTATGGCCAGCCTACGAGAATAATCAAACAGTACTGGTGCTTGATTTTGACATTAAGTCACAATTCAGTCTCGGTGAACGGCTTTTGGAGTATTGTCCACGAATTCTGAAATATCTCGAAAAATATGATTGTGAAGTCTATTCAACTTCTCAAACTTGTTTAGAAATAGACAATTGTCAGTGGATCGATGAGAAATGTCAAGCACCGTCACCATCATCAGCTTCTCGCATTCTTTACCACGACTATCTATTTGTTCTCCTTATTTTATTTTCAGGGAACTTTCTATATTGGTCATAACATGAGCATTTTGTTTCAAATACATTTTCAAAAAAAATGTATTTGATACAAAATTGTCGCGGTGGTCAATCCAGAAATTTTCCACAGTACGAGCGGTTTTTAGACAAGCCTTTCAAGGTAGTATTAAATTGGCTTTTGTTTGTAAGAATGCGTATTACTTCGCACCTGAAAACACATTTTAATAAATATACACCCAAACAAATATCACCTATGGGAAAAGTCTAGATACATTTCGTCTGTAATCGGACGATACACGACTAGTTGCCATCTAGATTATTAGTTGAAAAAGGGACTTTTGACTAGATGCGTCTGCAGGTGCATCTAGTAATAGTTAAATCGATCGATTATCGGGCGATAAATCAATAGTTGCAACTAGAAAAAATCTAGTAATCGCCCGTTTACTCGATTTCCATTGCTGTTACACAGTAGTTGCAATCGAGTAAAAATCTAGTAATCTAGATGAATCGGGCGATACTAGATTTTTTTTTGACGCTTGGGAACTACTGAGTTTACAGCACGTCGTTTTGAATTTTTCTAGAACTGCTTCTGTTCTGAAATAATTTCCACATGTAAAGTATTTCATATGATAAAGATATATCAGTTAAGTTTATCCTTGGCCATTTTTATTTCCATTGATTTAACAAACTGTGTTTATGTTCAATTCAAGGTGCCTGTTTGAAACCAATTCTTAGCAAATATTCAAAAAGATTCCTACAGTTTTACAGAGTGTATGAAACGAATAATAGTTATTGTGTGCAAAAAAACAGTTTAGCAGGTTAATACATGCAACGTAGAAAACGATCGGATTTGACAAAATTCAGTAGGTATTTCCTGTGAGGATGTCGGAAAGGTCGAAAATTTTCGACCGCCAAGTCCTTTGAGCTAGGATTATCGGATCCGCTCGAATTTCATTCGGATGGGTATGATAAGGTTACAGAAGAAAACGGTAGGATCTGATAAACTTCGGCAAATACAATGGTCAGAAACAGTGATTCCGATGGTCACATTTACTCAGGTCCGATTGAAAGTATTCTATCTCTGTAGATTAAACAAGGATTTACAAAACCTTTAGGATACTTTCTTGTTAAGGTTTAAACAACTGTATTTAGACTAATTATGAAATGTTTTCATTATAGCTCTTACCTGTAGTTGATGTAGTCGATGTAGTTGATGTAGTAGATGTGCTGGTCGTTGTACTAGTACTGGTTGTTGAACTAGTACTAGTCGTTGTACTAGTACTGATCGTTGAACTAGTACTGGTCGTCATTGTTCCTAGAAGAAACAACATCAGGTTTTAGAAAAAGCCACTAAAAAGTTCTAAACCTGGAACTGCAAGTACCGAAGCAACAATAGAAAAAGATCAAAATCCAAAAATATTCTGTTCCATTTAACTTTGTCAAAGTGCTCACAAGTCAATTAATTTTTTTAAAATTTTTGTTATACCAAAGTGGCGATAAAAACACTTCATAACTTACTTCGTAATTTGGTAGTGTTTATTGAGCTTGTCGCCGTCGATGCTGAGCTAGTTACTAAAACACATTTTAACAGAGTTTGGGACTATATTTATTCCAAAGTCAGCGGTCTCAATTGTACTTGACGTTGCCGATTCTTGTAATTGCTAAATTTATGCATATTTGCTTTTGCTAGAGTGGTTCGGCAGAGAACTTTCCCAGTGATCAATAATAAGCATTTTTGGTTTCTATTCATAGTCAATAATTTTTTATCTATAAATGGAAACTGAAACTGCTTATTATTAACAAACTTAATAAACTAATGAACTTCTTCGCAGAAAACTACGGAAAGCAGAACTAATTTGCTTCAAACTGTTTCACAATGTAATAAGAGCTTTTGATATAGATAAACAGATACATAGAGCATTGACAGATAGACCAGGTTAAAGCGGACACTTTTGTTTTGAATTTGGAGCATAGGTAAAGAGTGAAGACCCCATTCTAGATCCAAAAGATGCGGAATTCGCTGCTCTACAAAACCCTTAATATCTGATATTTACAGTAACGCAGATCAGGAACACATAAGAAACATAAGTACGATCTGCAGTGGAAATTTTAGAGACTCATCGGCTTTTCAGTAATAAATATCTTTTAGACATGTAGAAATGGAGCGAAGCGGATGGATCCAGAAACGTTTCAGGCCTGTTTTTCGGCTAGATCGATTCTTCATATGGCATCAAAACTTCAAAAGGATTTAGCATACTAGAAAAATTAGCTTTTATTGGAATTGAAACACGTAAAAGTTTTTGAACCTTATTTTCTGTCGGAAAGTTGACACTCTTCTCTTCCAGATGATATAGTTCTATATTAAAAGAACGTTCAAAGAAACGAGAATCCGTCTCCATTAATTACTCCTCGTTGAACAATGTCATCGTTAACCAGTGTTTCTTGGCAGATGAGACGTTTTAAAGCTATCTGCCATGTAGTTTTGTAGAGTTCTACGTGTTTTACGTATTGTATGTGACAACAGTTTTACGAATACAGCGTCACCTAGTGAATCTGGCTTGGGCTAAACTGGTCGAGTTTCGCCATCCCTTAAGTTTCATGGGATCAAGTTGACACACTACCTAAGGCACTTAACAAGCGTTTTCTTGAGATGTTTTTAAAAATCTTTCCTTCGTAAGTGTACGACTATAAAAAACAAAAAACTCAGCTTTGAAAGGTTGTTTAATCTTTCTACTGGAGGAAAGCGTTTTGAAAAGAAATCGAAACGGACATCTGCAATACAATCTTGGTTAGCTTGATCAATGAGGTATGAGGGCGATTGTTACCGAAAATCAAATGTTTCTGGAATTTTAGGTAATGGTGATACATATGAGAGTTGAAGCAAAAACGAAAAGATCTGTAAAAGTGTTTCTAATTTATCTATAAGTCTCAGGGGGTGGTCGCTTTCCGCTGAATTCAGGCGACATTTCTATGCAGAATCCTAAATCGTAGTAAGGATATCGTACATAGATTTCTCTTTTTCTCATCTATTTACAACAAAAATTACCAACCTGTTAGAGTATTGGATAGCACAAAGGATACAACGATAGGCACAAGTATTGCAACAGTACATAATAAACAGAGCAGAAAAATGAATAATGTGGCTCCATAACATGTTTTACATATCCAACAGCCGTCTCTAAAACGATCCATAACAAGTAAATACAGTACGTTGCAGACATCAAACAAAATTAACCTAATGAATGCACGAAGCCAGTGCGTAGGATTATCCGAAGAGATCAATTGTGATTGTGAATGTGGCGATGAATGATCTTGCAAGATCCAGCTTCTATAACTTTCATCGTTAACTCTCAAGTCGAATTCAGGAGAAGGAGTCAGTGCGGATGCAACATTTCGGCCATTATTGAACAGAAGTAGCGGTGGACCAGTTGTTACTGTTGTTTTAAAATTGGAGTCTGGTGTGACAACCGAATGGATCCAGTCCAGGTGTTCATTAGCAACATTGTTGAATCCCAAAGGTACTCTTAAATCAACCTTTGAAATACAAGAACACATAATATATCTCAACTACTCCGGATACTTTTCCGATGCCGAATGCACATGCACATTGTACTCTTTCTCACTACAAATAGGGTAACGTGGCTAAAGTATAGCGAGTGCGCCATTTGTGTAGTCTATATGTCACTCTACTATAAACTACCGATTTCGGTGTTAAGGGGCGCCTTAGGAAAACCTCTTTTTCATTCTACAAGCGATCTTAATGAAACTTGTATATGCTAATGCATACTATCTAATTAGGCTATGCTCAAAATTTGAGATCAGAAGGTTAAAGCGTTATCGAGTTGACGTTGTCACAAGGGACAAAATAGGATTCTTAGCGAAAATATTAAGTCTTTTTTTCAGAAGGAGTATAAAGGTAACGATGGTTTCGAATGAAAGTAGACATTTAGATGTAAAAATCTATGCAATAGCCTTTTTTAAATTTCGGCTTCGTTCATTCTCTGCACAAATTTCAAGTAAAATCCGAAAAAAACCTGAAATCCTAGATAGTATTTTTTCAGTTTCCTCGGAACAGCATCCGAAATTTAAAAATCTGTTCCATAGATTTTTAGACTTACGTCTCGCCCTAGGAATAAAAAAATGAAGGTTGTTAGATGAAACGTGTAGGAGTAGTATTTTTGCTGCACGAAACACTATTCTGAGAAAATAAGGTGAAAGATCATGGTGGCGAAAAGGAATTCCATCCTTTACTGAGTTATTATTCAATAGAATGAAGAGTATGTATATATAGTGCAATGAACAAAGATAGAGTGAATTTATAATAGACAATAGGAGAGAGACGTGATATGACCGAAGAAAATTATGCAGGAAATAGGATGAGAAGTTCACTATTCTCTAAACCATAGTGTAGAAGACAGGGAATGGGAGATGAGCAACGAAAGATAGATAAAATACCAATGAAGAGAGTGATTGAGGATGAGTAGTGCTAGGTATGCACCGAGTCCAGTTAACTATAACTGTTGGGAAAGAAGTTTTAAATTCTATGAAAGAAAAATCAAAAGCCTTTTAATAGGAACGCTTTTCGAAGCTGAAGTTTATGGACTACAAGTAGTCGATTATGGAGCTTCCAATGGAACTGCTCGTGTGATCCAAATAATCTACTGACGATCTCTGTAAGATGTACTGAATTTCCACGAGCTTCTGAACTTTGTACGCATCTCTAAGTGGAGTCAATCGAGCGGCAGCATAAGAAACGTTCGTGCATGTTGTTAGCCTTGATTTGTGTCAGAAGCAAAGTAGAGTAAAGCTTTTGTGAGAGCACTTGCGAAACGCTCCTCTGAGTACTTAACGGTTTCGTAATTGTTTTGACTCTAGAAACATTTTTACTATTTCATATATTCCTTTTAAATCTTTTTTAGAAAAAGAACAGTCAAAGAGAACACATATTTAGGACCTAAAGAATACCTTTTACAGCAAAATACGAGGTGTTTCCAAACATACATGTTTTGTTTATCAGACCATAAATCTCCACTAGATCTCGAT